ACATGCATATGGACATAATTTGTGGCTAAATAAAGATTCATTTGCTTTGTATTTGTTTCCTGTTCTTTGTACAAAGAGTGAAATGTTAAATACCTTTATAATAAACACATATCAATCAGAAAGTGCACCAGGAAAACATGTTAAATGTTAACATTTTGGAGTTACCTACAGTATGTTTTCATACCGTTACATACTATAATGTACCCCTCTGCTGATTGATATCACACAGTACAATATTAACTCGGACTACATGTAGTCTATTAAAGTCTACTTTCTGTTCCAAACACCTGTTTTAGGCAGGAAAAGGAAGTGGTGACCATTTGCAGTGGTTTGTTTTTAACTATTAGAATAAGACATGAGGAGTTTGCATAAGCATGTAATAGCACCTGTGGGGCTACAGAATATTTACGTATCCCAAAACTTGAACTTCTCCAGGAGAAAATGAAACCAATCACAATGTTCAGTTTGTAAGTCATTAAAAACGTATTTTGAAGATTTGTTTCAACATTTATTTAGTAAGTACTTCATGTTATCAAACAGCTCTGTGATGGATCTTACGTTGTGCTTCCAGGAGGACCTGAATAAAGAGACTTTGATAAAGCAGTTCAAGATTGTAAAGAGCCACACAAACACCAGCCACGTCCAGCAGTATGGAAACAAGGTAAGAGGACAGAAAGATCCCTGCTGACTGCTACCCACTATGAAGCAAATACATGTGATTTATTTATCTCTGGTACTGGTGAGTTTATCTTCTCTAGCCAAAATAAGATGAGGGAAGTAGTATTTTATTTATAGTCTCAGTGACTGGGAGAATAGTGAAGATGGAGGAGAACTGTGAGGCAGAAAACATGTTTGTTTCTGGCCCTTATTTTGTTACCTACCTGGAGTTTACCTTCTGTACAGACAGTGGGCCACATGAAGGTGTTAGCATTCCAGGGTAGCCAGAAAGCAGACCGCCCACCCACTCCTCCAGTGATTCTGCAGCCAGTGGAGAATCTGGATTTGACCCCGAGCCCTGACGTTCCTCTGGCCATCCTCAAGAGGAAGATGATGGCCTCCAATGACATCAGGGTTGCAAGGGGGCTGCTGATGGAGATCAACTCCCACCTCAGGGTAAAGAGAGACGACACCCTCTGGTGTTAGGGCTGTCTGCACTATGCTGAATGTTTCGCATCCTCTGTTAGATTGTTCAATCATAACATGCAATATACATACATACATTACATATTTCTAATGGTGTGTGTGTGTATTCAGTTCAGGAAGATTCTGGCTGACACTATGCGCCAAGTGGTCGAGAAGGTGACCGGCAATAGTTTCAAGGCCGAGGAGGTTCTCAACGAGAGAGCCGACCTGTCCCAGCATCAGTGCTACAAAGCTACAGTCAACCACTACAAACACAACTGCTTCAACTGGCACAAACCCGAGGTAGAGCTGCAGCAGAATCCTTTTCACTGATTTAAAGCAGACCATGGTTATTCTTTCCAAATTTAGGAAGTACTGGTGGTTACTGTAATGGTTGAGTCACAGTTTTAGGAAGAGACGTCGGTAGCTACGGATTCAAACTTCCTTTTATGTCAAGAATCTGGTTCAAGATATGATGTACACCAGTAGGTAGCAGGCTTACGTTCATTTGCCTCTTTGCATTCAGCTGACACAGGATAAGATGCTGTATGAGGAAATGGTGACTAGGAGTAACTCTGCAGTCCTGACAGAAAGTGAAACTGTATCGCGTTCATAGTCACGTTATAACCACGATGTTTTTACAGGTGCTTTCATGCAGCTGTTTGGGTTTTTTCACACAGTGTTCCCTTTTCTCTGGAAATGTTTGACATTTAACGTGGCCCCGTTACAACAGGGGAAATCAGCTTTGGTCATTTAAAGAATCCTATACTGTAAAACACAAACTGTGATGACATTTTTACCCATGCGATGTCCTCTTGTGTTTCAGCATGAATATGCTCTGAGACATCTGTATGCTCTCGTGAACCTGTGTGAGAGGGGATACCCCGCACATAGGTACGGTCTGCTTCTCACTTCACACACCACTGTTTTTAACCAGCCTATGTGCAGCAGGTCATGACTGGTGCAGTCTGTTACATATTTAAATTTTATCAAATTAAAGTACATTTTTAAGTTTATGGGAAATGTTGTTATTCAGAGAATGCTGCTGATATTTTATGTTTTTTAGACCAATGAGTCAGGGTTGTGCCAGGAAGGGCATCTGGCGTAAAGCACGTTCCAAATGTCAACATGCAAATCGTCAGTGTGACGGGAAAAAGTCGAAAGTGACATTCATTTGAGTTGATCAAATAAACCATCCTGCTGCTAGCAAACTGTCAGTTTCTATGTTGTCTGCAGAATTTCAGTCATGGTTGCAAACCCTTAAAAACTGCATTTAACTTTTGCATTGAAGCCGCTAGTTGCACCCTGCAGTCTTATGGCTATCATCACAGTGATCCATCTGCCTATTAAGACAATATTACATCATAATTTGTTTGCAAATCATACAGACTCTGGGAAGCTGCTGTTGGTAGCAGTGGTCATGGATCAACCTTTATTCAAGTGGAACTGGCCAGTAAAAAGCATTTACTACCAGTGTACTACTGACATGATTGATTGCTTAACTGATCTGTCGATTTCATGTAACAATACCTTGAATAATCCATTTATCATTTAATGTATCAGCCAAAAATGCCAAACACCTGCTGGTTCCAGCCGCTCAAATAAAAGGATTTTCTCATACCACAGAATCTTCACTGAGGTTGATTGTTACTTGTACAAAACAAGCCATTAGCAGGCGTCATCTTGGGACGAGGAACTTGTGATGGGTATTTTCTCCTGTGTTATTTAATACTGAAGTAATTTTATTTTGTTTCACTCTGCAGCATCCAGCAGGCCATGGATTCTGTGTGTCCTTTCATGCAGTAAAAAGAAGTCTGCAAATCCATTAGAGCCTCGGATCAGTCTGCTGGAGGTTAAGAGAACTTCTCTTTCTGCTGCTTAGAAATCAATCTGACGTTGATGTTATTGTTTTATCAACACACTATAACTTGTTTTTTAAATTTGTGATTTTTTTTTGTGATTTTACTGAGAATTTTTAAGCTTGTTTTATGATGAGTTGCACTATCATGTGAATGTTTAATGGATGGTGTTTTACTGTTTCTGATGCTTTATTTGGGGTCCAAAATGCCTTGCATGAAAGTTTTCTAAACATGTAAAGGACATTACCACTACACAATGAATGTTTGTTGTACACAAGTTGTTGTAACACTGGGACCTTGAAATAAAATCTGACAACCAAAACTGCAAGAGGGGAAAGAAGTCCAGTGTTATTTCTTCTGTGGACATCTTTCTTTCTATGAGAAGAATTTTTAAACATATTTCGTGCCTGACACCACTTGGGACATTCCTACATTAAAAATATTTTCTTCTTGATTAGATATGTACGTGTACATAAAAAAGCAAATCATACACAATAAATACAAGGCAACAGTTTCAAATGATAGAACAGACAAGGGACATTTACTACACTCTTGTGATTTCATTAGTATTAAAGATGTTCATGCTGTAAATGCAAAATCAGTTTGAACTTTTCATCTAGGGATGAAATATAACATTTGTATTTTTATTATTGCACTAATGGTTTTTAATAGTTGATTAGGATGCCAATATTTGCTGTTTAACACAAAGTATAGCTGAAGCTGATGGGAATGCTATTGGTTTTGTAGGCGTTAACTCATAAATCAAAGTATTGAATCAAGTGAAATTTTGACCTGGTGTCATAGAAAGATTTTAATCACTACCGCAGCAGTAGACCTGTTCATCCTCTGTACAAAATTTCAAGCCAGTCCATTGTATGAGTGTTGATATTTCTCTGGAATCCACTACTTTGAGCAGGACTGATAGGATATGCCTGAGACACTGTGCCCTGTCCTGACATTTTGTACAGACATTCGTGGTACCCACAAGATGAAGCCTACTGACTGTGATGGTCCTAACTTTTCCTGGAGAATCACCATGAGGTTGACATTTGTGGTTTAATTTCGATAGACTGCTGTGGTATGTGGTAAACACTTTCTACTAAGTCACAATGAATAACGGTTTACGTAAGTTAAACATTTTTAATTGGTAATATTTTTTAAGATTACATTTAGTATTATTTGGAATTATTTATAACAAAATATTAGCAAAACTAATCCCTTTCCCAGACATAGGCTACTTTGTGTTTAGTTCCTGTGCCACAGATTCGGCTGGTAATAATAGCACATCAATAAATAAAGAATGCTGCACTGACAAAAAAAATCCACCATAAATGAAGAAATGTTGACATCTAGTGGCGAAAATTTGACTTTCATCTTAAAATGTTATTGTGTTCATGTTGTGTGAGGGTTCTTTGTGTTTTTTGTTGTTGTTTTTTTGTCTTCACCTTTTCTTATTTAATGATGGGCTTTGTATAACTCGATTTTTGTATTTATTAATTGATGACTGATCACTGATTATTTGACCTGTACTTTTTAACAATAAATTAGTCCTGACAAGGAGGTTATGTTTTTGGTTCCATGTCCTTGTATGTCGATTAGCAGGATTACCAAGTATGCTAACTGGATGGATCGGCACTCTTGGTACAGACATTGGTGGGGACCAACCCTAGAAGTGATTTGATTTTGGCTGAAAAAGGTCAAAGGTCAAGGTCACAAAAATTCATATCTTTAACATGGGGCAAGATTTTAAAAATTCATATCTCTGTCAAAAAAGTTATTGGTATCATTTGAAATTTGACACATGTAAGGTGGCAATGTCTAGCACCAGACGGAATTTCATCCGGATCTGACGGCCATTAAAATTTAACATTGTACCCTGCATTTAACACATATTTTCTGCCATAACTTGAAATATTCGAGTAAGCTGCACAGTATGCTACCTATCATACTCTTGCTGTAAATATTTCTCCTATTACACTGTAGTGGTAAAAGCAAACTGAATATAGTTAATAGTTATTAGCATAGTTGATAGGCCAATGTTAGTTAAGTATAATATGTAGCATGGTCAGAGATGACCTCTCTGCTCTTTTGTAAGGGCCTCTGCGGGAACATTGGGTGTCAGGCTTCCTGTTTTTCAGTACAGGCTGCAGGGGGTTCCCAAAATAGAGAAGTGTAACTAGGGTGGGGGCCCGTTGGACGTCAAGACCTGGACAATTGCAGGAAGCTGGGAAATAGCCATATAGTTAGCTGCAGAGCTGATCAGGTAGAGAGTGTGGGTGTATGTGAGGACCTGAGAAGACTAACCTGACTGACTCCGAACCTCTGCAGAGGCCCAAATCAAGGTGATCCTGTGTCTCACCCTTCAAAACCTCTTATCACAATATATTGTATAATAAATGATGATTGGCACTGCAGTGATTCTCCCTGTGAATTAATTCTATACACGACAACACGATTATGTACATATTTAGCAGCCATTTCATATTTAGTGGCCATTTCGTATGAGTTTTTATCATTAATATGAAGTTGAAAATACAGTCGTTATATTATTATTAATACCATTATTAAAAATCGGGTAATATGCACAGATATATATATATATATATATATATATATATACATATATACAAGATTACAATAAATATCAGATAGTTTTGTTGTGAATTTTAGGTAGTTTTATTTTTTTAACAGAGTCACTGAGAATGTATTTTGAACTGGAATATAATAACATGCAAGACATTATTATAGACTTTTAAGCAGGCAAAAAGCTCTGCTACCTAATACTGCGGGGTCCGTCTTGCTCTTGCTTTGGGAGGCGGTGTCGTTTAGCGCCTGCCCTCTCCTGCCACTTCATAAAGCAAGAAGAGAATTGGATCGAAACCAATCTGGATAATATGAGAACGCGACAACCTAGTGGGAAGCTTTAGTAGCAGCCTATCCAGCGACCTACATTTCTGGAAGGACAGAAAAGGAGGTTTGGATTAAATTCTGGTTGCCGCCTTCACAGAAAAACGACAACAAGGAGCGAAGTGGTTGTTTCCTAGCTACTTTAGCTTGTGTGCTAACATCACCGGTCCGGCTAGAGGTTGTCTCACAGCTGGGTAGTTTGTGCAAAACGGCTAGCAAGTCTGCTCCCGAGTAATATAACTCTCATTTAACATTTCACAATGGGGTCCAGAGCGTCCACGTTACTGAGAGAGGAAGAAATCGAAGAAATAAAGAAGGAGACTGGCTGTAAGTTGAGTTACGAATAATTTTTGTGGTGAATGTGAGGACTTTTAACCACTAGCTGCCTACTGTACTTAAATATTAACATCGCAGGGTATTGTACTTAGCCAGTTACGTAAAGCCTTAGCGCTGCATTTCTTCCGCAAAGGCCCCAAATCACATACTTAAAGGAAATTGCTCTATAGCATTTATTCTGCAATTGTTGCTGACTGTGCCTACTCCCTCGGCTCAATAGCTGTGTAAACAGTGATGGAAGTACCTAGCTAGCTATGATGTGTGTGTGTGTGTGTGTGTGCGTGTGTGTGTGTGTGTGTGTGCATACACACACAGTATATCACTCACAGGGACCAATTTACTTTTGATACTTAAAGTAAATTTTGATGATAGTATTTGCATATTTTACTTAAGTAGGATTTTGGAGGCAGGACTACAACTTAAATGAAATATTTCTACATGAATGTGTTGTTAGTTTAATTTAGTAAATGATCCGAGTACTTTTTTCCCCCACTGTTACTCGTGATGACATCTGGTGGTGTAATGTGGTTCAATAGGTTGGTGAAAAGTAATTTTACCTGAAGGACTGTACACCTGATATCTCCTGTTCATCCTCCCTGCAGTCTCTCACAGTCAGATAACTCGCCTGTACAGCCGCTTCACCAGTCTGGATAAAGGTGAAAATGGCACCCTCAGGTAAGCAATAACAAAAGCATCTTTGTGAAAAGAAACACATTAAACAACAGCCATAAACTGGTTTCTTTACCAGCCATTGCCAGACTGATAGGTTAAATGACATGTGACTGAATATTGGAGAAGCTTTGCTACTCTAGACAGTGATCCAAAATGTCTACTTGCAGTGGTCACCCTAAAATATTTTTACAGTAATTGATAATAACATAAGCTTTCACACTCACAGCTTTGTGAATTATTTATGGTCATTGCTGCTTTCAGAATTAACAGAGTTACAAGGGCATTTTAAAAAGAATATGTTTTGCAGACCAGTGTTCATTAAAACAGTTGTTAGTCAAAGTGCTATTTGTATATTTGGATAACAGCTCAGTAGGGTCACTGGACTCTCACACACATTTTAGCAAGACATCACTTGTTCTCAACTGGGTTTCACAATGAAATCATGCCAGGGTGTCATGAGTGTTCAGCTGAGACGTCAGTGACACATTTCTGTGGTTTGTGATTAACTTCTAGCTCCATCCTCCGTCTGGACAGAGCAACAGAACAAACAGTGTTTGAAACTTAGCCTTTTGGTTTGGCACAGCGTGTTCATTTGCAGATCAGCTGTCAAGGGTAAAGAAACATCTTTCTGTGGCTTGTAGAAGTCATTGTTTTGGAAGATGGTGTGTTTACACATAAGTTCTTGGTTCCACTTGTTCTTGCTATTGTGCTTTCAGTAACGGCACACAGTCAGGTGCAGCCTCATTCATATCCAAGGTGACTTTCTTATATTAATTAGTTGCCACAACAGTCATATTTATATATATATCAGTTGACCAACTTCCAGTCCTCCTGATGGACCATGGAACTTTTTACTTATTTACTATTACTGGACACCTTCCAGAACGCAATCGCTTGAATTATTTTCAAAGCCACAATAGAAAACAGTCATATTCTTTTCCCGTTTAGGGGTCGCAACAGCGAATCGTCACACTGATGATTCGCATGTTGACATTTGGCACGTGTTTTACGCCGGATGCCCTTCCTGGCGCAACCCAGACTCGAACCCGGGCCACAGCGCCAAGAGCGCTGCGCCTTAACCACTAGCCTACCAGGGAAGGACCATTTTCAAAGCCACAATAATTATCAAAATTAAAAATATTAACTGGCCATCCAGTTTTTCGTCATCTGTCTGTGTTCATATTTGCAGTCAGTTGAGTTTAAAGACTAATGAAGATATGGCCTCATGAGCTCTGTTCTGTCTCTTTAACTTTGACCACATCTCAGACAAAGACATTTTGACCCTGTCTTTTGATAGTTAATTTTAAAACATATATTATGTTGCTGTTTCACATCTTTCATATATCCTTGTGTTTGCAGTCGAGAAGATTTCCAGAGGATCCCTGAGCTGGCTATCAACCCTCTGGGAGACAGAATCATCAATGCATTCTTTCCTGAGGGGTGAGTTGGCCCTGTTATTGGTCTGCAGTCTTTGGGGATCTTGTTTTTTTTGCCAGGAGTGTGTGTTATAGATTTGAGTCAGCACCACCACCACAAGGATGATCCAGACCATCAAGCCTTTCTATTGTGGCTACTCGACTGCCAAATTGGTGCTACTGTATATATCTGGCAGCTGTATGGCCGTCTTATCATTCTGGACATAGAAAACTAGATGTTTGGAGATGGATCATTAAAATCCCAAATGGTCAGATGTGTGGGTGTCTTAATTTCACCCATGGCTTTTTATGTTTTCAGATGTAATCTTGTTTGTCTGGTTTTGGCTTGTTGGCTTCAGAACAACTTGAGAATAGATTGTAAAATGGTGTTAGGTGATGACTAGTCTGAGTTTTCATTTTATCACCCACAATGCTTGTACAAAGGTAACCTGAGCAGCACTACAGAATTAGTCTTTTAACCAGAGAGTTATAGAAAACTGCTTTTCTTCTCATCATTTTTTTTCTTGTCTCTGGTTTTCAGAGAGGACCAGGTGAACTTCAGAGGCTTCATGCGGACCTTGGCTCACTTCAGACCAATCGAGGACAATGAGAAGAACAAGAATCCCACTGCTAGCGAACCTCTGAACAGCAGGACAAACAAGCTGCTGTGTGAGTGTAGAGCTCTGTCACACGGGCATGTCGGGGTGGAGCCGGTGACCAGTGTCATGAACTATCAGACGATTTTGTAACAAGGGCTCATTGTGCCTCTTATGACATATGTATTTTTATTCTTTCAGTTGCTTTCCATTTGTATGACCTGGACAGAGATGACAAGATTTCTCGAGATGAGCTGCTGCAGGTGAGCAGAAGGGTTTGTCTTGTGCATAAGGTGCTGAGTCACAGTGATGTTTGTGGAAACAGCTGCTTGTGCCAAATGGTGAATAACTAGATTATTCTTTATTGAATCCAGTGTTACTGCTGAAGATATTTGCTGTTCATTCTATTGTGCAATGTGTATTTCAAAGTACTCCTCATAGGGAGGGATTTCCATGTTGATGAAAGGACTTGGCCCTTATGCAGATAATTATGTGATATCTCACCTTAACTACAGGTTGATTTTTTTCCCAGACAGTCTAATATCCTGTATTTTGGCTTCCTCTGTGCTCCCTCTGTTATTTGATGTCATCTTGGTTTTGGTGACATTGTGTGACCTGTAATTGCTATAAGCTCAAGGTTAAATGACTCAGACAGATTTCTTGTTTTGTGCAAAACATTTGTGTCGCCTGCTTCAAGTGATGCATGAGCCTGTAAGACTTTAATCATGAAACTCACAGTAATATTTGTCTGTTTTTCAGTAAACATGTTTGCTGTTTTTTATAATTCCCAGTGAAGCGTAGCTGCCATTTAACCGAAGTAGCTACATATGATCTTTTTTTAGTGCTGAATGTAGCCTTAACACTGTTTTACAGCATTCAGCATTATGTTTGAGGAAACGTCACAGCTGCTATTTAATCTTGACCAGGAACTCTGTTTTTCACTGGTATTCATTAACCGTAAAGGGACTCTGATTATTCTTTACAGGTCTTGCGGATGATGGTTGGTGTAAATATTTCAGACGAGCAGCTCGGCAGCATTGCTGACAGGACCATTCAGGAGGCTGACACAAATGGAGACAACTCCATTTCCTTCAATGAATTCATAAAGGCAAGTTTTGTGATCAGAGTATATAACTCTATTTACTTATTTATGCTTGCGTATTATTTAATTTTTAAGCTAAGCAATAAATTATTCGGACTCAACTATTAACTATTAACAGATTCCGTTTGAGGATTGTTTTAATGAAGAGCTTTGACCATGTACCGCTGCCTTTTGGCTTATATATGTTTAGCATTGGAGGTTTCACTGGGACCCAAACTAGAGGCCAGGTGTACCACAGAAAAGAAAAAAAATGTCTCAAGGGAACATTTTACAGTGTTGGATGGGTTTATGTGTGTACAAAGTAGAACCTGCACCATTGTTTAGTTGCTATGAATGCACAAGATAGGCCTGGTGAACAACAGCTCACAAGTTAAAATGTTTGTAATTTAAGTATTGAAACATCTACAAACTGTTTTTGTAATGGTCCAAAGTGCTAGTTGAATGTTTAAGTTAATACTTATCAAACACATTGGTTTTGGCTGTGACCTTGTCATACTGTGCCCATTAAACATAACAGGACCACAACATAAAATGATTAGGTTTAGTATCTAAACTTGTTTTGCTTCGATTGTTTCCTCAGGTCTTGGAAAAGGTGGATGTGGAACAGAAAATGAGCATCCGGTTCTTGCACTAGGTTTCTTTTTATTTCACTTTGAATAGAGCTTCATCATGTTGAGTCAGGGCACAACCCCATCAAGCTTCTCAGCAGGCTGCTGTGGCCCACGCTACAAGTGAATAATGTCACATTAAGCATTTGGTAGATAATGTCATAGATCCTTTCTGCTTTTGCACTACTCTGTAAACAGCTCTGTGTGCCATGGCACTATGTATAGTTTTTCCCAATAATGGAACATTATTTATTAGAAAAAAAAATGAAGAGGGCCACAGTTAGTCCCACTGCTGTTCCTACAGCTCACACTTTTTGTTTTATATCAGAGTTCATTTCAAGAACACCCTCCAGCTGCACACAAGTGCTGGAAATACAACTCTTGCCATTTGTATTAATAATTATGTGATTGTCAATCAGATATGATCCAAATGTTATGTGATGTTGGTCTAGGTATTATGAAAATGATATGAATAAAGTGCCATGCATGATTAGTGTCATTTATTGGTAAATATTATTGGCCTGGTGGAGGCCTGCTGTTGTATGTTTAGTTTTTGTATCTGTGTTTGTTATGGTAGGTCCAGGTCAGAAAAACATTGTTTTCATCATCTTAAAGATATAACAAATCTAAACCAGTGCAAATGCATAATTATACTCCTTATTTAAGTAGGTCCATTAATAACCAGCGGCTCTACCACATTTCAAGGGAAGATACTGTGTAATAAGCTGTAATTAGTTGACAGCAAAATTATTACATGGAAAAAAACTAAGTTAAACAACTTCCAGCTATTTCCGTTGTTGCCAGTGTTATTTTGTAAACGGTAAAATATATATGTGTGTGTGTGTGTGTGTGTGTGAGAGAGAGTGTATGTGCAGGTATAATGTGTACAGTATGCATGTGTCCAGGATAGTTTCTCATCTTTCTCATCACATTTTTATTGTGATGTTACTATGACTAACCCGCCTCGCGCCTAATGTCAGCTGGGACAGGCTCCAGCCCTCGGCCGCGACCCTATTCGGGAATAAGCGGTATAGGTGAGGGATGGATGGGTCTGCTTTTAAGAGTGCGTGTTTGCCTGCACTTGATAAATTCAGACTTTTGTTCAGCTTGCGTTTCGCTAGCAACCGTCAGGAGGAAACACCAGAAGTACGTCCGGGGCGGGTTTTAAATTTGATTGACAGGTCTCCAGCACAATCAGCGCAGTTTTTCGTTGGCCGGTAGTAGCACAGTGAAAATGGCGTAGAGAGGAGGGTGTACGAAGGAGAGGACAAGACCCCTTCTCTCCTCTCCGAGTGTACGGGGGGAAGAGAAGGGGGCTGTGAGTTTGTCGGCTTATTCGTTTCTAAATGTGTCCTCAACCGGTGCGCCCTCTCTTTACAGAATGATAACGGGATACGACCAGTTTAGGAGACGTAAGTGTGTCACCGAAGAAGCTCCTGGCTTTTGTTTACCATTGTGTTCTGCTGCAGCTCAAACCACGGAGGAAATATCTCCGCATCATTTCGGACCCACTCACACCAAGGTCAGTGCTCATGTTTCACCTGTCTACTAGTTTAGCTTAGACATTTTCCGGTTTTTAATTTTGGAAATTGGTATTGTTAAAGGGGAAATCATCAAGAGATTGCATATAAAGGCTACTGGTTTAGTTATTTTTGGGTGGTAAAGTTAGCATCTCTAAAATAAGACAACTCTCTCCGTTAGCTGTTAAGAAGGCAATAGCAAAAGTCCATAGGTGACAGTAGGCTATGTGTACTTGAGCCATTAACAATTAATATCCCTATATTCCAATTAAATCATATAGTCTGAGGAGCTGTTTGCATTAATGGCTGTCTATGGAGCAGGGTTTGTTTGGAGATGAAACGATTAGTCGATGAATGGATTACTCTGTGTGACAAGTTAATTGATCATTTTGATCAGTACCAGCTCTCTGCTGTTTTCACTTTGCTGTACATCACTTTAAATGTATTATCTTCGACATTGGACTGTTGATTGATTGAAACAAGATGTCATCTTGGGCTTATTGTAGAATACACGGCATTGTTCAGCATTTTTGACATTTTATTAACCAAAGATGTCTAAAAAACATAATATCGAATCAATTTTGTATACAATCACATATCACAAATTTGCCTTAAGGGGCTTTACAATTTGTATAGCTTATGACGTGCACTCTGTTCTGACCACTGAGGAAAAACTCCCCAAAACGTGCACTGAGATCAAAGTTTGCACTGTATCATGGTCTCCACTTTCAGCTGCTTGGCTTTAAAAGAGACAGGTCCAAACTCACAAATCAGTATAAAATAAAATGGATTTTTTTCCTTTAATTCTAGGATGGGGTTTCCAGTTAATGTAGTTATGAAACCAGCTGAAGCCCAGAGGAAAATCTCCCTTCAGCTCAACCCCAGCACCATCAACAGATCTCTTCTACCGTCACCCAGACCTGTGGAGGTAAAGAATGAAGAGTCATTGTGAATGTGACCTCTTTTGGGCATTTGGGACACGGGTGCCCTCCTTTCCTGCTGTTACTGGGACACTGTCACCCCTCCCCCTCTACAGCAATCCCCTGTTGTCCTGTCCTATTTCTGCAGCATGACCATCATTGAGGAGATCTTCCACAGTTCTGGGCTAGTCTGGCTTCCATCACGCACACTGACTATGTCTACATGTAGCCTAACACTGGCATCATTTGCCTGACAGTCAGCTTTTGGATTGTTATCATGCTGCATGTAAATGTGTGAACAACATTTTCCTGAATAAGTTTAAAAAAAAAAAGTCATTCTCATTGATCAAAGCAGTTTGATAATGAACAAGCTAACTGCTCCTGTTTGCTGGGAGGAAAGTAAAGACACAACAAACTGTAGCAAAGATCAAGGCCTGTGATTAAATTAGACTCATAGGGTGGGTTTTTTGTTTCTTTCTTTGTTTGGCACTACCTCATTCTCATAACAAGTGCAGCAGG